AACCGAAGCTAACTGACGCTAACTGACGCTAACTGACGCTAACCGAAGCTAACTGACGCTAACTGACGCTAACTGACGCTAACCGACGCTAACTGACGCTAACTGACGCTAACTAACCTTGGCGTCCCTGAGAAGTTTGTTTAGAAATGTTCCTGAACTTGTCCTGATTCTCACGTGACGCTGTTCTGTCCAATCAGGACGATCTTATGATCAGTGATGTCAGAGACGAGCCCCGCCTCCTCCTTCTCCTCTTTATTGTTCAGTCTCTCTGTCGTTTACGTTTACAACGACATGAGAACAGCTGATCATGGGAGTGTAAAAAGTACCACCCTAAAACTAAAGAGCGGGGTTTTCACAGAGATCAATATGAGATGATTGTGGCTGATCAGCTGATCAATAAGAGTCTGAAACTGATCGGAAAAAATAAAAGATCAATTAAATAATCCTGACTGTAGAAATCTAAACTGGAGTTCAAACCTGAAAAAAAAACTTCCACTCAAACTTCGGCGGTTCAGTTTAGACTGACAGCCAATCAGGAGCCGGCACAGAGGCCCTCAGGTGATCCAGGTAAGAACAGAGGAGACCAATGAGAGAGTCTCGTCTGCCTCGCTCTCAGACACTCGACAAACTTCACCAACTCTCAGTCGGACGGTTTTCGGCGAACTCTTCGTCTTTCTTATCGAACATTTTCAGTTCGTCTTTGATGAACGTCGGTGAACCTTTATTCACACCTGTGTGTGTTTCCCTCAGGTGTCACAGTCCAGACTGACAGACTTCATTCTGACCTCATTTCCTGTTCAAGGTCAGCCATCACTTCCTGTGATGATGCTGATATTGATGATGATTATTAATGAATGAATAAACTCGTACCACGACGCCTGCTGCTAAAACTCATGATAATAAAACTGAACTAAAACCTCACAGCCAATCAGAGCGAGCTGCTTTCTCACCTGGAAATCTGTGATCAATAAATCAATCAATCAAAGTACGACATCACACTAATCTGATCCAACGACGTTATGAAGGTCGTACCTTTATATCCCACGTTACACACACAGGTGACCTGCTGAGAGTCGTCTCCACGGTAACAACCTCCTGCAAACTGCCGCAGGCTGTCGGGACCATCAGGACACCTGCAGGGACGACAGTGGTCACCTGACCCCAGCACTGGGTCTCCATAGTAACCATCGAGGCACCTGGTCACAGTAAGAGATTCAAAGTTCAGTGTGTGTTACCTGTGACAGGTGAGACAGGTGTGTATGACCTCCGGTGGGACTGACCTGTCACAGGCGTGTCCTGTGCTGTGGTCCCTGCAGGCGATGCAGCGCCCGTTGTCGGGGTCGCAGGTGTCGGCGTGTCCGTTGCAGGCGCAGGGTCGACAGGCGGGGAAACCCCAGTGACCCGGCAGACAGCGGTCACACTGACGGCCGTACGCTCCCGGAACGCAGACGCACTGACCGCTCAGCTGATCGCAGAAGGAGTTCTGGGCGCCACGAGGGTCGCACGCACACGCTGAAAAAAAAACACGTAAAAATGATTAAAAATGACGATTTTATCACGACTTAAACAAGTCGGCAAATCACGAAAAAGGGTTAATAAACAAGAACGTAATTAGTTATGTCCTAATGAGCTGATTGATCATTGATGAGTGTTGATTGATTATTGATTATTGATAAGTGTTGATTGATCATTGATGAGTGTTGATTGATTATTGATGAGTGTTGATTGATTATTGATGAGTGTTGATTGATTATTGATGAGTGTTGATTGATTATTGATTATTGATGAGTGTTGATTGATGAGTGTTGATTGATTATTGATGAGTGTTGATTGATTATTGATGAGTGTTGATTGATTATTGATGAGTGTTGATTGATTATTGATGAGTGTTGATTGATTATTGATGAGTGTTGATTGATCATTGATGAGTGTTGATTGATTATTGATGAGTGTTGATTGATCGTTGATGAGTGTTGATTGATTATTGATGAGTGTTGATTGATTATTGATTAGTGTTGATTGATTATTGATGAGTGTTGATTGATTATTGATGAGTTGATTGATCGTTGATTCAGGTCCTGACCTCTGCAGCCGTTGGGGCCAAACTGGAAAGTAGCAGGGGCACACCTGTCGCAGTTGCGGCCAACCACATGGGGGCGACACTGACACTGACCGCCGCTGGGGTCACATACTGTGCTGAGGGAACCCTGAGGGTCACAGCGGCATTCTGGGAAACAGAGTCACAGACAGAAAACGAGCTGAAACAGAGAAGATGTCCTCAGGCCGACAGATTTATGAGACAACGAGAGAGGAATGTGAGGAAGTAGAGACGAGCGGAGACACGCCGACGGAAGGAAATACCTGAGTGATGTCACTCAGGTAATAATGACAAAGAAGAGTCTGAAGAGCAGAAGATCACCTGGAGAGTTCAAACTATAACTTCTCCTCTTTTATTTGTTTTAAGATAAAAACAAAATAAAAGAAAGAAAATAAAACATCAAAGTAAAACCTGACCGACGACGTTTAACGACAAAGACACAAAAACTACAAATTAACGATTAATGAACGAGAGTGAAGGTGGACTGAGAATCTAGGGGGGCTCTGAGGGTCCTAAAACCCTGAGTGGGTTTTAGGTAAGTTACCTGGTCATGGTCTAGTTACCTTTGGCGCCCTGGTGCAGCATGGCGGAGATGCTGAAGATGAAGTTCCTGCAGATGTCGGTGGTCTGGGACTTGATGACCCCCTGGCTGTTCTCCAGACATCGATAACGCTGAAAGGTGTCCCAGCTGCTGGAGTCTCCGCCCTCCGAGGGCGAGAAGATCTCCAGGTTCTTACAGTGAGGCATGAGCACGATCTGAGGAACCAGGACCAGAACCATCAGAACAGGACCAGAACTGACTTTAGGTGAATCTGACTCTGATCGATGATGTTTTTCTTTAATCACTTTTTAATGTGATTTAAATGAATAAAGTGAATTTGGTCGTCAGGACGTGATTCTGAGTTTTTACTCACTGAGTCGATGAGTGTGTACGGAGACTGGATGTCGCTGAGGGCCGAGTACAGCGGCAGACTGAGGCGGACCGTGTAGTTCAGACCAGATTCAAAACAGACGGGTCTGGGAAGAACCACGTACCTGAGGGGACAGACAGGAACTTTGAGGGTCGTAATTCTCACAGAGACTCGACTCGTCCGTTCATCCCTGACCAAAAACGTGAGTACACCTGAAGTACATTTAATTAAGTATACTTTAATTTTAGAATACTTCCTGAAGTATACTTTAAGTACACTGATACAAATATACTACCAGTGTACTGACAAGTAGACTTCATGTGACTAAATTGACCCAATTTAGTTTATCAAAGTACACTTGAAGAAAACTTGAAGTAAACTTCTTGGTACAACATCAGTTTACTAGTAATAAACCTCTAGTCCACGTTTTAGTGTATAAAAGTACATACTGAGGCTCAGGACCACAGCAGGAACCAAAGTCACCAACATGGGGGCGTGGCTTAATCCGCTCTGAAGCATTGGTGTGCAGTTAATTCAGTAGTAGTACTTGTTTGTATTCCTGACTTATACTGCTTATCTCTATAAGAGTGTACTCTTTCAAAGATATACGGAAGTATCACAGAGAAAGTAAACTGACCTCTCAAAACACACTTGAGAGGATCTGGATGAAAATAAGTCGGTTAGATATATTCGGACTTTTAGTTGAACTCTGAGTACAAACCAAATAAACTTATTTTAGAAACAGAATAAATCCTCCTCATCAGGCGACTCAGAAAATAACGTTTTTGATGTTCACACAGTCTGAGCAGAAATCATCGCCCTGATGTTTGTAAAAGCTGTTCCAGGTTCATGTTTCTGACGACCTCTTCTTTCACCAAGTCTCTGAGAACCTTTGTGGACCCAGCAGACCAGAGAGGAACCAGAGAGGAACCAGAGAGGAACCAGAGAGGAACCAGAAGAAGAACCAGAAGAAGAACCAGAGAGGAACCAGAGAGGAACCAGAGAGGAACCAGAAGAAGAACCAGAAGAAGAACCAGAAGAAGAACCAGAGAGGAACCAGAGAGGAACCAGAAGAAGAACCAGAGAGGAACCAGAGAGGAACCAGAAGAAGAACCAGAAGAAGAACCAGAAGAAGAACCAGAAGAAGAACCAGAAGAAGAACCAGAGAGGAACCAGAAGAAGAACCAGAAGAAGAACCAGAAGAAGAACCAGAAGAAGAAGTTTAGATCATGTCTGCAGTCGTTACCGTGAGCCGGGGTGAAGCGAGATCATCTGGTTGTCATCATCAGGAACTGTGTTGACACAGCGACTGTCTGCTTTGATTGGTCCAGGCCTCATCACCGCCATCAGAACCTCCTCCCATTGGTCAGGCAGCTGCAGGGAAAAAACCTTCACAGCTGATTTTGTGTGTAAATCTGTGAAACTCTGATCTTATTGATCTGATCTCTGTGCTTTAGTGGGCGGGGCTACGACAGTAGGAGGAGCCTCTTCTCGCTGTAGACGCTCACCTGTGGCTCGTAGCGGATGATGATGTCATACTCCATGGAGTGGGGGATATTGTCCACGGTAAACTCCAGGTACGCCCCCTCTGGGACGTTGACCAGGCCGGTACCTGTCCAGGTGGGGCTGCGGTCCAGGGGGTGGGGCCTCGGCACGACCGTCACTCCCTGAAAGAAAGATGGAGGGACTCAGAGCCGGGGCACCTGTGCATGTCATTTAAATGAACGCAGTCGCACTGGTCAGCTACATAATCAGAGGTCAAAGGTCACTCACAGGTCCGAAGGTCGAATCCTCGGCCTCGTAGGTGTAGTGATCCAGAGCGATGAAGTAGAATCCAGACTCCACCTGATCGCAGCGGCGACCAAACATGTGATCTCTGCACACACACTGACCGCTCACCTGGTCACACCTGCAGGACACAGGAAGTGAAAAAAACTACAACAAACATGGACGACCGTTAGCTTTTAGCTTTAGCAGGACCATCACAGAAACTCACCGGTTGTTGATGGCTCCGCCCAGATCACAGTCACATGGTCTGCAGCCGTCCATGTCATTACTGAGCCCCCAATGTTCAGGCTGAACACACACACACACACACACACACACACACACACACACACACACACAAAGACTGATGAGAGACGGACTTCCTGTTTTTATTTTTCTGAACATTTGAGGTTCTTTGTCCTGATTGGCCGGTTGACTTTCCCTTCAGCTGATTGGCTGATTACTCAGCGAATAAGAACGTTGGTATCTTGTCTTACCACACATTGGTCACAGTCTCGTCCCGTCACCAGGCGTTTACAGAAGCAGCTTCCTGTTTCACTGTCACAGGGGTTTCCTCCAGGAAGTGTTCCCAGAGGGTTACAGGAACACGCTAAAAACAAGATCATTAACATTTGAACAAAGAATGATCTTGATTATCTGTAATGATCTTGATTTATCATCACCCCACAGAACTGCAGGAACAAACAGAAAGACGATCAAACACTCAGGATCACTGTTTCCTGTTTCCTGTTTCCTGTTCCACATCTCTGATCCTCTTATGGTCGATGTTCACCTGTTCAGTCATTTGTATCTTGTTCTTTCATAGTTTAGTATCTTGTTTTATCATGTTGTACAGATGGTGTGTTTCTCATCGTACCCTCGCAGCCCTCGGGGTTGTCGCTCAGGTTGTAATGTGCGTCTTTGCAGCGTTCGCAGCGCTCTCCTTCCACGTTGACCTTACAGCGACACTGACCGGCGATCAGACCGTTCCGAACGTCCGTCATCCCGTCACACAGACCGCCGTTCAGAGAGCCGAGAGGGTCGCAGTTACAGGCTACGGAAACAAACACAGGACAAATTTAGGACCAGGAGAGAAAGGGACAGATACGGTCTGGACTCGGTATTTTATTTTGAAGAGGAACAGTGGTACTTTATTTTGAAATCTGACTCACGTTGGCAGATGTTGGGGTCCCTGATGGATCTCTCGGGGTGTTGGTAGTAAAACGGTCGACACTGCTCACAGTTGTGTCCGGCTGTGTTGTGCCGACAGTCGTCACAAACTCCGCCGCTGACGTTCCCTGAAGCCACGAAGACCGCCATGTCAAAGTGACACGAGTCTGAGTGATGGTTACAGCTACACTCTACAGAAGCACCACAGAAGAAGAAGAAGAAGAAGAAGAAGAAGAAGAAGAAGAAGAAGAAGAAGAAGAGGTGATTATTCCACATGAAGAAGAAAAACATTTAAATTCAGCTGCTGAAGAAACTTTGTTTCAGACGTTTGTATGAACTTTTAATCTGACAGGAACCTCCAGTACCAGATCTCAGTCTGCTCCTCCCAGTCCAAACCAGAGTAAACCAGTTAAGACCAGTTTAGACCAGTTTAGACCAGTTTAGACCGGTTTAGACCAGTACAAATGAGAAGAAACCAGTAGACGTGGACTCACTCTTGCAGGCGTTGGTGTTGCGTCCCTCAGCTGGCCGCCATGGAAGGTCATGGTGGAAGTCCTGACACTGCTCACAGTTCAGACCTTTGGTGTTGTGGTTACACATGCAGTGACCATGAACCTGCAGACATACAACACGCCATGATGACCTCAAACGATCGCCAGTTATCATCAAACATGACCCCGTAACCCCGTGACCATATAAAAAAACTCTCACCATGCCCTCTCTGGTCTGCCCCGCCCCCTGGATGGGCGCGCACTCAGAGGCGTGTCCGTAGCAGAAGCAGTTCCCTCGGACCACCATGTCGTAGATGGCGTAGTAGTACTTCTCTTTGATCTCCATGCGAGAATCCAGCAGGTTATCTCCGAGCGTGTGCAGTTTGGTGAACTTGACCCTCAGGTTGGTGATCTTCAGCATGTCTGGACAGAGAGACGATCAATGATTGATCAGTAACGGATCAATATCTGATCAATAACCCCAACAGGAGAAGTATGGAGGAGACCTACTCTGAATCCTGGGACTGTAAGGGTCGTGGATCCTGAACGCCGGGTCCAGGACTCGAAAAATCACCTGAAACAAACGGAGGGTTTAACGGCGGTTAACATCGCTGTGACATCACAGTTTTTAACTCATTAATGAACAGAGCGCCGACAGACCTCGCCCTCGGTGGACGGCTCTATGTCCGAGTATCGGGAGTCGCAGATGACATCATCGACCTTCTTCATTGGACCTTGGGAAATTGTCGGGAAGGAAGTTTCGCAGTCGTAGGCAAAGTACCGATAAACCTGCCACGTTTTCCCGAAGTCAGCTGACCTCTCGATCACCATGGCAGCAGGTCGAAACGTCTGAGAGCAGAGAGAGACACGGGGGGCGGGGTCAGCCACAGACGTAATACTGGTCCCACCAAAACCAGAACCAGAACACCTCAGTACAGCCGCCATCGGGTTAGAGAAACAGTGTAGATGTCATAGACTGTTATAGACTCAGAATGTTATAGACTGTTATAGACTGTCATAGACTGTTATAGACTCAGAATGTTATAGACTGTCATAGACTGTTATAGACTCAGAATGTTCTAGACTGTTATAGACTCAGAATGTTATAGACTGTCAAAGACTGTTATAGACTCAGAATGTTATAGACTGTTATAGACTCAGAATGTTATAGACTGTTATAGACTCAGAATGTTCTAGACTGTCATAGACTGTTATAGACTCAGAATGTTATAGACTGTTATAGACTCAGAATGATATAGACTGTTATAGACTGTCATAGACTGTTATAGACTCAGAATGTTATAGACTGTTATAGACTCAGAATGTTATAGACTGTTATAGACTCAGAATGTTCTAGACTGTCATAGACTGTTATAGACTCAGAATGATATAGACTGTTATAGACTCAGAATGTTATAGACTGTTATAGACTCAGAATGTTATAGACTGTTATAGACTGTTATAGACTGTTATAGACTGTTATAGACTCAGAATGTTATAGACTGTTATAGACTCAGAATGATATAGACTGTTATAGACTCAGAATGTTATAGACTGTTATAGACTGTTATAGACTCAGAATGTTATAGACTGTTATAGACTCAGAATGTTATAGACTGTTATAGACTGTTATAGACTCAGAATGATATAGACTGTTATAGACTCAGAATGTTATAGACTGTTATAGACTCAGAATGTTATAGACTGTTATAGACTCAGAATGATATAGACTGTTATAGACTGTTATAGACTCAGAATGTCATAGACTGTCATAGACTGTTATAGACTCAGAATGTCATAGACTGTCATAGACTGTCATAGACTCAGAATGTTATAGACTGTTATAGACTCAGAATGATATAGACTGTCATAGACTGTTATAGACTCAGAATGTCATAGACTGTCATAGACTGTTATAGACTCAGAATGTTATAGACTGTTATAGACTCAGAATGATATAGACTGTCATAGACTGTCATAGACTCAGAATGTTATAGACTGTTATAGACTGTTATAGACTCAGAATGTCATAGACTGTCATAGACTGTTATAGACTCAGAATGTTATAGACTGTTATAGACTCAGAATGATATAGACTGTCATTGACTGTCATAGACTGTCATAGACTCAGAATGTTATAGACTGTCATAGACTGGTTAACACAGATTTCAGCTGGATTAGTCTGTAGACTGTTCCTCTAATCTGACATAAATCTGTTGGCTGATCGGACTGTGATTTCCCAGAATCCACCACTGCATGTAGCACCCACCTTGAAGGTCATGATGAGATGAGTGAAATGAAACTCTGCCTCCAGATTCAGCTGGACCGTGACGTTTTCTAGACCTGCAGACGACATCAGACCATTCAAGAAAATCAGTTCCTGTTTTTTTATTGACCCATTGTTAATCAATACGTTAATCAATACATGTTACAAACTCTGACTGTCAATCACTGTCAGACAACAAAACACCGACCTCAGCAGCAAGAACCAAAAACCCACCAGAACCAAACTGAACCAGATCCAGAACCAAACTGAACCAGATCCAGAACCACACTGAACCAGACCCAGAACCACACTGAACCAGACCCAGAACCAAACTGAACCAGATCCAGAACCACACTGAACCAGATCCAGAACCAAACTGAACCAGATCCAGAACCACACTGAACCAGATCCAGGACCACACTGAACCAGACCCAGGACCACACTGAACCAGACCCAGGACCAAACTGAACCAGATCCAGAACCAAACTGAACCAGATCCAGAACCAAACTGAACCAGATCCAGGACCAAACTGAACCAGATCCAGAACCACACTGAACCAGATCCAGAACCAAACTGAACCAGATCCAGAACCAAACTGAACCAGATCCAGAACCAAACTGAACCAGATCCAGGACCAAACTGAACCAGATCCAGAACCACACTGAACCAGATCCAGAACCAAACTGAACCAGATCCAGAACCACACTGAACCAGATCCAGAACCAAACTGAACCAGATCCAGAACCACACTGAACCAGATCCAGAACCACCCTGAACCAGATCTCACTCATTCATGATTTTTTCAGACTGTTTTTCTGTTTTTTTTTCATTGTAAAAACTTTTTGTTTTTTTCTCAGATGTAAATAAAGTTTTTTTATTTTTTTATTGGAGGTTTAAATAAACACACACACACACACACGGCGTGAACATTCACTCTGAACCCACAGTGTGTCTGAGTTCTCAGGTAAGGACTGTCAGCGGGAACCTCCTGAGTGTTTTATCCCCCAACCCCCACCCTTAACGACTCTGCGGCCTCCAGCTGGGACTCGCCCCACAGCATGAGAACCAGTAAACACAGACGTGTGTGACTTCAGGACGGACTCACACCAACGCCATCCTGGGAAACAGCAGCTGCTCATGCATTTCAAAGACTGAGGGGGGAGTAAAGGGAGGGAGGAGGAAGAGAGGAGGAGAGAAGGGGAGGAGAGGAGGAGAGGAGGGGAGGAGAGGCGGAGGGAGGGAGGAAGGGAGGAAGGGAGTAGGGAGGAGGAGGTAGGGAGGAGAGGAGGAGAGGAGGAGAGGAGGGTGTTTTTCCTCTGCTCTGTTTGACTCTCTCACTCAGACATAAACACAGACTGAACACCAACAGGATTTAGTTCCTGGAACCACTGGGACTTTATCTGTCTCTGGTTAAAGGTGGAAACAGGTGAGACCCGGGACTGACAGGTGAGACCTGAGACAGACAGGTGAGACCTGAGACAGACAGGTGAGACCTGAGACAGACAGGTGAGACCTGAGACTGACAGGTGAGACGACCAGAGCCGAGGAAACACAGACTTTAAATACTCATGTCTGTGAGTGGACTAACGTGTCCGTTTTTTAAATTTTCACAGGGTAGTTTGTGTGTAGTTTGTGTAAAGTTTGTGTATTTTGTGTAGTTTGTGTGTAGTTTGTATAGTTTGTGTATTTTGTGTGTAGTTTGTGTATTTTGTGTAGTTTGTGTGTAGTTTTCCTCACCGTTCTCGGACTGCCACCAGGTCTTGAGTCTGTTGGGGGCGAAGGTTGTGACGACGTTTTCGATTCGATGGTTTCTCTTCTGGTCGCTGAGCTCGTCGTAAAAATCCGACGAGTCGCAAACGAAACATTTCTTCTCCTCCTGAGAGAGAGAGAGAGAGAGAGGGAGAGAGAGAGAGAGAGAGAGAGAGAGAGGGAGAGAGAGAGAGAGAGAGAGAGAGAGAGAGAGAGAGAGAGAGAGAGGGAGCAGGAGAGAGGGAGAGAGAGGAGAGAGAGAGAGAGAGAGAGAGAGAGAGAGAGAGAGGGAGAGAGAGAGAGAGAGAGAGAGAGAGATCAGGAGAGAGGGAGAGAGAGGGTATTTGGGGGTCAAAGGTTAAATTCTTTTCATTCTTCTCGGTCTTTTTATAAAAAAAAAGAAAAAACTTTTGAACAGAAAATATTTTTTTATGTTTGAATCAAAAATGAATAAAAAAAAAATCAGCTGATCGATTTTTAACCTCCAAGAAGATAAAAACTCTTTAACTTTGTTTAAACTGAAGAAGCTTTAAGAGTGAAACTAAAAACATCAACAACAGAAGTAAACAAACAAACAAACAAACAAAAAACAAACAAAAAACAAACAAACAAACAAACAAAAAACAAACAAAAAACAAAAACAAACAAAAACAAACAAACAAACAAAAACAAACAAAAAACAAACAAACAAACAAAAAACAAACAAAAAACAAAAACAAACAAAAAACAAAAACAAACAAAAACAAACAAACAAACAAAAACAAACAAAAAACAAACAAACAAACAAAAAACAAACAAAAAACAAACAAAAAAAACAAAAACAAACAAAAAAAAACAAAAACAAACAAAAAAAAACAAAAACAAACAAAAACAAACAGAAAACAAACAAACAAACAAAAACAAACAAACTAACTAACTAACTAACTAACTAACTAACTAACTAACAAACCGGGAGTGTGTTTTTGTCCACCTGTGTGTGTACTTGTGTACTTGTGTACTTGTACAGGTGTGTGTGTGTGTGTGTGTGTTTTTACCTGAAGGTGACTGACGATGCAGAACGGTTCGGGGCGGCTAAGTCCGCAGGTGGAAGTAGACGACAGTTGATGGGCCCGTCCAATCAGGAGGTCCCCTGTTGCCGGGTAACAGCTGCCCTCTGTACAGACATCACTGAGCTCGGGGACGCTGACATCGATCTGGGCCCCTCCCACATTGGCTCCGCCCTCCTGAGCGCAGGTAAACACCTGTAGGGCTGAGAATATGACGGTGAGTCTTTGACTTCACATCAGCGTCCTGATTGGTTACCTGCTCTATTCATAGATTGCGCTCAGAATGAGCTGTGATTGGCTCATCAAACATGTAGAAGCCTCATTTGCTCGAACATAATTGAGCGTTGCCGCCATATTTGATGGGTCTCCTCATTCCCGGCTCGCACTTGAGCCAAACAGAGTCAACGGAGAACGAGGAGCTACGCCGACGTATCGTTGAAACCAGATGGTGTCCGATTACGTTTCACAAATTTAAAAATAATTTTAATTATTTATCTTAATGTGTGACGGCGTCCGGCGGCGCCTCGACCGTTTAGAACAAACCACTAAAATTCAGAGTTATGGTCAATGTCGTCGGGCAGAAAGAAACGCACTAAGGGGATTTATCCAAGATGGCGGCCACACCGATATATGTGAGCTCCGCGTCAGTCTGTGGTGATTGGCTGGTTCACTCGCTAACGTCAGTTCGTTCTTCATTCTGTGTTTTCGGAAGGACGTCACGCTCCGATGTTGTCCTTCCATTTACGCTTTAAAAGCATCGGATTAGAGTTTTTTCGGGATTTTTTCACGTGTTTCTGCGATGACTCGTAGATTCACATCATATCGCAGTAAGCTCTGACTAGGCGCTTTGCATTGTGGGTAACGCTCACAGGTGAAGATCAAAAAACGGAGAGACCCTCAAATGGCCGAGTTTGACCTTTGACCCTGGTGTTACATCATTTACAGTTATCAGTGAGGGTTAAAAAGTATCAAACCGCCTCTTTAATCACCTTTGACCTCAT